GAAGATATATTCTAATGATACTTGTTTTCCACATATATCACAAATATCATTAGTGTTTTTAACTTAAAGAAAATTATATCACCAAAATATTTGTCTTTTCCTTTACCATTTTGTTTTTATGTTTATGTGAAAGGAAAAAATACTGGCATTTAGGCAGGGGGAATGTGAGTAGATTGGGCATAATATGGACACAGGGAAATTGAAAGAAAGAGAGTCAACTTTCTCTGCACAGTTAGGTGGATCAGTGGTTCTCAAAGTGTGGCCGCACCAGCAGGCAGTGTGAGCATTCCCTGGGAGCTTGTTACAAATGCAAATTTTGGGGCTCCACTCCAGACCTACTGAATTTTGGGGAAACTTTGGGTGTGAAGCACAGTAGTGTGTAACAAGCCTTCCAGATGCTTCTGATACACGAAGCAGGGAGATAGGGAAGTGGGGTTTATGGCTGGCTGCTCAGGTGACAGGAATAAGGAGTCCTAGAAGGGAGACAAGGGGAGATGAGACAAGGTTCCAAGAAGGAACCCAGACCCCCGTATGACATAATGGTTGTCTTGGGACTAGAGGAAGAAAAACTGTTGCATGGAGGGTCTAGGGACTTTATGGAATTAAATATTCAATTTTAAATTGTGCTTCCTTATAACACATCTTTGTCTTACAACACCTTCAGAACAAGTCTGAGGACAACCTTGTGTTGGGGAGGTTTGGGGCATAAAGGTGAAAGAGAATAGGGATGAGCCATGGAAGAGGTCCATCCCAACCTGAGGAAGGCAGGGGGCCAAGGGTTCAGTGAGAGGAGAAATTTTGAGAACAAAGTAACCAGGGATACACAAGGAACCCTCAAAACTACTAAAAAACTAAGAAGGGGAAAGAATCTGGCTTCTCACAGCAGGTGGGATGAGGAGCTTGTTGCCTTGTGTACTTATAAAAGGAAGAGTTATCACCACGAGGCTGAACGACTCCGAACATTCAGGTTATGCCATAAAGGTCTCTCTTTGTCTCATCATAAAATAAACATTCACCCATATATTTTCCCCTAGGATGCTTTATAGTTTTTGCTTTTTGCATTTAACTGTTTCACATAGTTAGAATTTATCTTGGTAGGCGGCATAAAAGAACTTTCTCTACCCAGATCATCAACTGGTTGAGCAACATTTGTTAAATAACTTCCTGCCCTCTGATTTATAATCACCTCTTCATCCCTGGCTGAGGTCCATTTCCAGGCTCTCTGTTCTGTCCCATCCATCTGTGTAGCTGTCTCTGAGCTCACACTACATTTTTGTGGTATATATACCACACACACACACACATATACATACATACATAAATATATGGTATTATGTTTACTCCTTTGGAAGAGGGTCACAAATAAAATCCAGGATAACCAGTTAAATTTGAATTTCAGATTTATTTTTATTTGCTAAATCTGACAACTTGACTCCCTCTTCATTGTCCCTTTTTTCCTTCAGTATTTCCTTGACTATTCCCACCTATTTATTATTTTTTTGTATTTTTTAATTAATTGATTTTTTAGTTTACATCCAAGTTAGTTAGCATATAGTGCAACAATGATTTCAGGAGAGGATTCCTTAATGTCCCTTCCCCATTTAGCCCATCCCCCCTCCCAAAACCCCTCCAGTAACCCTCTGTTCTCTATATTTAAGAGTCTCTTATGTTTTGTCCCCCTTCCTGTTTTTATATTATTTTTCTTCCCTTCCTTTATGTTCATCTGTTTTGTCTCTTAAATTCCTCATATGAGTGAAGTCATATGATATTTGTCTTCCTCTGACTGGCTAATTTCACTTAGCATAATACCATCTAGTGCCAGCCACGTAGTTACAAATGGCAAGATTTCATTCTTTTTGATTGCCGAGTAATACTCCATTGTGTATATATACCACATCTTCTTTATCCATTCATCCATCGATGGACATTTGGGCTCTTTCCATACTTTGGCTATTGTCGATAGCGCTGCTAGAAACGTTGGGGTGCATGTGTTCCTTCGAAACAGCATACCTGTATCCCTTGGATAGGTACCTAGTAGTGCAATTTCTGGGTCATAGGGTAGTTCTATTTTTAGTGTTTTGAGGACCCTCCATACTGTTTTCCAGAGTGGCTGCACCAGTTTGCGTTCCCACTAGCAATGCAAAAGGGATCTTCTTTCTCTGCATCCTCGCCAACATCTGTTGTTGCCTGAGTTGTTAATGTCAGCCTTTCTGACACCCACCTATTTATTTTTTCATGAGCTTCTGAATCACATTATCAAGTTCTTATAAAATCATTCTATTGGTTTTAATTAGATTTGCATAACAAAATAAATTTGGAGATAAAGGTTTGGTTTTGGTTTTTGTGGTTTTGGGGGAGGTTTGTTTTGTTTTGTTTTGTTTTGTTTTTAGCCAAGTTTAGTTTTTCTGTGCAGAAATATGGTATATCCCTGAACTTAATCGAAGCTTCCTTTATGTCTTTCAGAAAAGTTCTAAGGAATCTTCTGTTTGTTTTGTCATCATTCATATTGCTCTCATAGGTCCTGAACATTTCTTGTGAGTCTCATCCTTAGGTATTTGTATATTTTTGTTTATTTGCTGCTTTTATAAATCTTTTTTTCCAATATGTTTCTAATTTTTTTTCCGGTATAAAACATTTCTACGTTTTGGGGTATTTCTTAGTTTTTTCATGATTAAAAAAATACACATACTCATTGTAGAAAAATAGCAAATAGGACAGAAATGGAAAAAGAAAAAGAAAAGGAACTTCATTCATCGCTAGCTGCTCACTCACCACTATGGTAAATCTTAGTCCTCAATGATAAAAAAATCTGATAAGTCTGTGTATAACGAGCCGGCATTTTCTATGCATCTGATATGTGATGTAAAATACATTTTTTAAAAACGTGTGTGCATGCGCATCTCTGTACACATGAGATCTTACTATGCATATAGTTCTTCAAATCTTTTTTTCCCTTTTTTAAAAAATTTAATTCAGTTCCCCGGGGCTATGCCAGGATGCAGGGAGGAACTGGGCCTGGGGAGACCCACTGGGCAGCTGGCTGCTGGGCAGGGTCAGTGCCTGGGGAGACCCAGCAGGAGAGGTGTCAGGGCCCAGCTGCTGGTGTTGCACAGGCTCCCGGGTCCCCAATTTTTTTCATATTAAGCCAACTCAACCAAACTCTTTAATTAGCTCTAGAACTGTATCAGTTGGTTGTCTTGGGTTTCTACCAGAGACAAATATGATATTTCCAAATCATTATAATTTTCTGATCTTTATAATATTATTTCCTCACCTTAAACTATTTCTTTGGCTACACCTTTCTGAATAATCTTACACACTAGCAGTAATGGTAGCAAACACTTTGCACACCACCAGAACAGGGATCATAAATTCAAATGCATGGCTGGGGTGTGGCAAGCAGACAGTGTAACTGAGTAAAACTAGTCTATGAAAAATAATAAGGAAGGACAAGGAATATGGTGAACTGGTGGGTTCACACTCCATCCAAAGGGAAACCACATGCTCACCTCCTGCTGGTTGGAGGAACATGGGCCCATTATTGCCAAGTCTAGCTTTTGATGCTAAAAATCTACTTTTTTATGTGTAAGCTCAACTTTTAAAAATATTGACAATTAATTCAACTTTTAAAAACTATACAAGCCAAACAAAATATATCTGTGGGTTATACTTGGCCTTCAGGTGACCATTAAGTGACCTCTATGCTATAGTTTTAGCAGTAAGCATGATGCTGGCTCTTTGTAACACATATTCTTTATAATATCAAAGGAGTTTTTGGAGAGGCCATATTAAATGTCTCTGTGAGAGTTCACAAAACAGAAAGTTGAGAGCAATCTACGAAGCCATAGGAACAAAGGGTGTACAAGTCAGAAATGGATAAGGAGGTGGGCTGGGGTATCCACGTGGGCAGAGTGCATGTGCTTAGTAAACCCTTCCCAACAAATTGTAACCACTCTCAACAAATTTTTCTTTCACAAAACTCTGGGTTTTGTGGATTTACTTCTGAACATTTTCTTATAATCACTAGAATTTTTAATATATTCAGAATAAAATAAAAGTTTTTCTGAATCATAAGACCAGACAATGAATATTGAAAGATGGACCAACCACAGGGAAAATTTTTAAATCTCAGTATGTTCACTGTCTCCAACAAAGCAAAACCAATTTATTGGCACCATATGGACAGTGTGAAGGAAGGCATCTTTGAAGAGTTTCCAATTAAGGAGGTATGATAAATGAAGAGTAATTGTACAATATACACATTGTTAAGATTATATCCTCTTTGCATGATGTGTTGGTGTTATTCTTTTTATTTTAGTAACTCTAAAAATTGTTTATGGAACTATACTCACTTTACTCATGACCTTTCCTTAACTATAAAATATCCCTTATATTTTGGAAGACAATGTTTCAGTAAGCATTTGGTAAAAATTTGTTGAATGAATGACATAATTAATGAACACTGGTGAAGTCTTATTCACCAGAAAAGGCTATATCTTAAATATTAACTCTAATTTTTATTGTGCATAGTATTGGTTTTAATCCCCAATTCTAACCCTAGTCCCAATCCTAATAGTGATTTTTAAAAAAGATAAACCTTAACCCAAATAATGAGTATAATAGTCCTACCTTGATCCTAATCTGAAACCAAGTATTAGCAACCCTTGTAGTTCCAAGAGAAAACAGAAAATAAGATGAATAGAAAAGCAAGGCTCTGGGGCACCTGCGTGGTTCAGTTGGTTAAGCATCTGACTTTGGCTCAAGTCATGATCTCAGAGTTCACGAGTTCAAGTCCCACGTTGGGCTCTGTGCTGACAGCTCAGAGCCTGGAGCCTTCTTCAGATTCTGTGTCTCCCTCTCTCTCTGCCCCTCCCCTGCTTGCTCTCTCTCTCTCTCTCTCTCTCTCTCTCTCTCTTTCTCTCTTTCTCTCTCTCAAAAATAAATAAACATTTAAAAAAAAGAAAGAAAGAAAGAAAAGCAAGGCTGTGTCAGAAGGAAAAACAGATACCTATAGGCCAGAATGGAAACAGCATATAGCGCTTCCCTGATTTGGTGTTCACCATTTTCATCCCCATATTCCTCAACTAAATCCTGAACCCAACCCCAATACCACCCAAGCTACTATGGGGACATATCTCACAGTGCTTCCATCTGCCAATCCAAACTGCCCATTAAGAAACATAAATGAAACAATGAGTGTGAAAATTCCTTACACACCCTTGGCATAGACACTCAATAAATTACATACCCTCAAAACTCTTTAAACAGGCAGATCACAATGCAAGAACTCAACCAGTCCTCCGTGACAGAATTCATTCTATTGGGTTTTGCTCCCAACCCTAGGACCAACCCTCTGCTCTTCACCTTCTTTCTCACCTTTTACCTGCTAATCCTCATAAGCAACAGCCTCCTCATCACCCTTATTCACCAGGATTCTCGCCTCCACACACCCATGTACTTTTTCATCAGTGTCCTCTCCACGCTGGATGTGTGCTACACAACCACTACCGTGCCCCAAATGCTTGTGCATATTCTCAGTGAGAAGAGGACCATCTCTTTTGCTAGATGTGTGGCCCAGATGTACATCTTCCTCCTCTTTGGGGTCACTGAGTCCTGGCTTTTCTCTATCATGTCTGTGGACAGGTACGTGGCCATCTGCCATCCTCTCCGGTATAAGATCATCATGAGCCATTGGATGTGCCTCCTCATGGTGGGCATCTGTGCAGCCTATGGTGTGGTGGGTGGCCTGTGCTATACCTTCTTTGCTATGAATCTGCCCTACTGTGGCCCTAATGAAATTGACCACTACTTCTGTGAGGTCCCTGCTGTCCTAAAGCTGGCCTGTGCAGACACATCCCTCAATGACTTGGTGGACTTCATCACGGGCTTCAATGTCATTGTGGTCCCACTGTCCCTGGTTGTCATAGTCTATGCCAACATCTTTGCTACCATCATGAAGATCCGCTCAGCCCAGGGACGGGTCAAAGCCTTCTCCACCTGTGCCTCCCACATCACTGTGGTCACCATGTTCGCCATTCCATGCATCATTATGTACATGAGCCCTGGCTCTGACTCTTTGTCAAACAATGGCAAGAAAATGGCCCTTTTTTATAACATTGCCACAGCCTTCCTCAACCCTGTCATCTACAGTCTGAGGAACAAGGACGTGAAAAAGGCTTTCCTCAAATTGATGGGACGGAGCAGGGCCCCACAGTGAGGCCTTAAAGCTGAAGACCTGGGGAGCCAAACAAAGCAGGACTCACACCCACAACCCCTCAAAGACTCTTCCATGAGACCTGGGAGGGCTGTACTCCATAAAACTAACCCTTCACCCTGGCCTAGGGAGAAGGAACTGAGTACTCAGACAACCACAGCATCTGTGGTGACCTGGTTTGGGACAGAGGTGATTGTGAAGGTAGAGCACAGTGGTCAAGAGCCTGGATGACAGACTTGATTTTAGCCATTAGCAGGACATATGAATTTTTGCAAGCCATTTAACTTCTCTAAGGTTTATATCTATCTCTTCCTCACAGGGAGGTTGTAATGATGATGTGAGATTCTATGTGAAAAGTATTTAGTACGAGACTAGCAATAGTCAGCTTTCAACAGATACTAGTTTTAATGTTTAAAATTTATTTCTTAGGGATGAACTGTCAACCTTGAACTAGCCAATGATCTTCTTCTGGGCTGTGGAAGTAACTGGAGCCCTAGAGAGTAAAGGGAAAAAGGCAGGGAGTGGGAGTATTAAAAACTCAAAAACTGAGAAGTGAAGAATCTTAGGGTGAGAGACTTGAGAATGAGGAAGTGAGCCCTTATCTCCCATCCACAAATTGTGCACCTTGAACTCATCTTCTACCTTTGTATTGTAGCCATTCGTTCTTATGCTTTTGTATCTTTACACCTCTTGATTTTCCTTTGCCCCTTGTTCTAATAAAGTCCATTTTGGAAAACTACAGCCTGTCTTGGGTGATCTCAAGGAAGAGAAACTCTGTCCACTTGAGGGTGAGCAAAATTAGGGAGGGAGTGGGTATAATGTTCCCCCAGATGCAAAAGTTAGGCAGTCCAGGAGAGGTTAAAATCTCCAGGGGGAGTTTCTCTTCTGCTCCCTCTTGCTTAGAGAGACCTTCCCTGAAACTCTTCCTATGCCTCATAGAATCTTTACAAACATAAATTGTTTTTTCCCAAATTTCATTACTCTGCAGGGTCATGTTACTGGGCATCACTGTATTTATGGTTTTGCCCCTGTTTGCTGCTACAGGAACTCCAGCACCCAACAAAGCAATACATGTTCCATAGGCTAACAGGCAACACCTTCAGGTTGTTCTTTCCTACCCCCTTGCCGATGTACAGTGACTATGAAACTCCTTGCAAAAAAAAAATCAGCTGGACTGGCCGGAAAATTCAACATGAATGCCTATGTCCTCCATGGGTTACCAGGGTCCATGCCAAAGGTGTAGGTCTCTATGTCCTCAAAAATATTGCCCTATGCCACCACACAGGAGCCAGAGTGTCACATAAATAATGAATCAAAATTAAAAGGCAGATAACAAAACAGGGCATATCATTGCAACATACTTACAGACATGTTGATAATGACATGAACATAGAAAGAGCTCTTACAAATTGGTAAGAAAAATACAAACACCCCAGGAAACTGGCAACAGATCTGAACAGTTCATAAAAAAAGACATTCAAATCATCAATAGATGTGTGGGAAAATCCTATCACAGTAGGCACCAAAGAAATGCAAATTTAAGTATCAATGAGATATCACTTTTTCACCTTTGAAATGGCGAAGAGTTTTTAAACAATGGAGTCAGAGGTGGCTCCATTGAAACATGGACTGTCGTACATGGCCAGTGTACCCATCTTTCTGCAAGGTGATTTGGCTTTATGTATCAAGAACCTTACATATGTCCATAATTTCCTACCCAATACTTCTATTTTCAGGACATTTTAGGAAATAGACATCAAAAGGGCAGGAAAAGTAACATAACCATTTTCATTGTGTTACTTACATAGGAAAAAATTGGAACCAACAGAAAACATCTGTCATCGTGAGTGATTTAAATATATTATGGTATAATGGTGTACTCCATAGTCATTGAAAATGTATTTTATAAGAATATTTAATGATATGACTGCTCACAAGATGCTAAGTGAATAAAAGCAAGAAACAGCTGGTGAACAGCATGTTATGATCACACCGTTAATAGTCGTAAATACCCTTTCACCCTTGAAGTCACACATTAAAGCTTAGAATAGGAGAGAGTACCACTGAGTCATACTTTTGTACACACTTGTGCACGCCCACACACACACACAGCCACACTCCCCACCTTTTCAAATTAATGAATTAATAAACTGATTAAGGCAGCTTACCTTATCTGTGTTTTCACATTCGTTCTCATGCTCCTCTCTCACCCCAATTTAATTTCACCCCCAATCACAGTATGTCCAGACATCTGGCAAGTAGAGGCTTTCAATGGCCCAATCCACTCTATGAGCCTCTTCTCTTAAATTCACACAGCAGGGATGAAATCATGGACTCCCAGGAAATTCCAGTGAACACAGACACACAGTTTGCCTTGATAGAGTCTCTGACATTGTTACAGACACTTTATTTTTTTTTTCCAAATAGGGCAAATCTCTTCCATTTCTGGAACAAGCTTTCCCACTGAGCCATCCCAGCTAGTTCCATTGAGAAAATCTCAAACTTCTCTAACCAGAGTTCTGACCATGTCTGTCCCCTGTAGCATGTAAACTAACCCCTCTTCCAAAGAGCTTCTGGTGATTTACTATTTCCATTTCCTCCTCCTGCTTCAATCAATGTTGGCAATTTAAATTTTTCTTGAAAATTGTCCATTTTATCTTGGTGTTCAAGTTTACTGGCATCAAACTTTTTTTTAAGTTTGTTGTATGTGTAGCTCTGTATCCCCCTTTTTAAATTCTTAATATGTATTTTAATATGTACAAATTCTTAATATGTATCCCTTTATTCTTTGATCAATCTTGCCAGAGGAGCATCTATTTTGTATTTTCAAAGAAACAGATTTTGGCTTTGTTAATTAACCTTCTACAAATTGATTTCTGCTTTTGTTTTTATTATCTCCCTCCTGCTCTCTTTATATTTACTCTAGTAAACAGAATGGGAATGACTAGCTCAGTATTTTCAGTCTTTCTTGTTTTGTAATAAATACCTATAGAGCTATAAATGTCCATCTAAACACTGCCTTCACTGCTTCCTACAAAGTTTTGTATGTGATGGTTCTTTCAGTCCTAATCTTGATCTTTTCTGCTACAGTGCACATTATCATGAGTGGGATACCTCAAATCAATCAACAAATAGGGGAGTAATGTCATTATAGTGAAAAATCCCATTGGTTCATATCCACTTTTTTTTTCCAAACACATTCATATTTTGCACAACCAAGTACTAGCGATCAGTCCAGATCCTGATTGTATGGCAGCCAGAACTTTCTCAAAGTCCATGCTGTGGCCAGAGCATTGCAGAAAAAAAAAATCTTTATTTCTATGCAGCCAGCCATGTTGATACTCTATGTTTTAACAGCTCAGTATGAACATGTGGTCAAACAGAATGTGAGTCAAGTACTCATGTTCAGAAGCAGGCTGCCAAATGAGGTAGTAGAAGTGGTCGCTTACTCTGAGCCTGGTCAGAAAGACCACAGAGATGAGGTTTGCAGAGGCCAGGAGGCCAACCCGGGTAACCTCTGACATCGCTTCCTGTTCTGAGATTCGTGATTACTAGAGATTTGCAGAGCAGGGGTGCCAGGCACATTACTCCTTCCTTCATTACTTTCCTCTTACAAGGGGTCCTGATGAAATGTTCTGTCCCAGCCTGTTCCCAGAGTGGTACCTATCAGACTTGGGTTGCAGTGACAGATTCCTTGGTGTCTCTACTGGGGCTCATTTGGCTCTCCTGGCTGCTACAGCTGATGGGATGGTGACCAGAGAAGCACAAAGGTCTTTTTCTGATAGACACAAAGGATGCTGTGTCCATGCCAAAGTGCCACTAGTACTAAGTGGTGTTTCATGGCCAGTCTTTTGTGGCCTGCAGGGTCCAGCCCCAACCAGCTCCTTCATCTAATGGTCAAAGTCATTTTGCAGGATCAGAGGCATTACCGTTTTGATTACATGTTAAATGTAAAGCTATGAAATTTATTTTAAAAAATAGGAGAAAATCTTTATGACCTAGATTTAGGCAACAATTTCTTAGATGTTTATACCAAAATGTAATCCATAAATTCAAAAACTGATAAACTGGACTTCACCAAAATGGAAAACTTTTGCTCTGCAAAAGATCCTGTTAAAAGGTGAAAAGACAGGCCATATACTGGGAGAAAATATTCTCAAGTCCCATATCTGACAAAGAACTTGTATCTAGAAAATATATAATACTCTCTAAGCTTGACTGTAAGAAAATAAAGAATCCTGTTAGAAAACGGACAAGATTTTGAACAAACACTTCTACAGAGGTTATACAGATGGCAAATAAATGCAATTAAGCACATGAAAAGATTTTCAATATCATGAACTGTTAGTCAAATACAGACGACAGCCATGAGGAGGTGTCACTATACTCTTACACTATTTAGCCTGTTATACTGGCTTACATGAAAAATATTGACAACACTCAAGGTTAGGAAGCATGCAGAGGAACAGGATCATAGCTAGTGGGAATGCAAAATTGTATAGCCTCTCTGTAGAACAGTTTGGTGTATGCTTTTGTAAAACAGCTGCATTGAGATGTAACTTATATACCATAAAACTCACCCACTGGCCCTGTGCAAATTCAATGGTTTTTATTATATTCACAGAACCATATAACTAACACCACAATCTAATTCTGGAACATTTCATCACCCCAAAAGGAAATTCCATACCGATTAGCAATCACTCCTTCTCCCCCACTCTTATCCCCAGGTCTACCCAACTACTACTAATTTACTTTCTGCCTATAGATTTACCTATTCTAGACATTTTCTATAAATGAAACCCTATAAAATGCAGACTTTTCTGACTGGCTTTTTTTCACTGATTTCAAGGGTCATCATTTAGCATGTATTATTACTTCATTCCTTTTTATTGCAAAGTAGCATTTCATTGTATGGATATACCATATTTTTTTATCCATTTAGTTGATGGACATTTGAATTGATTCCACTTCTTGGCTATTATGAATAATGATGCTAGGAATATTGATATACAAGCTTTTGTGTAAACATATGTCTTTATTTCTCTTATATATCTAGGACTGAAATTGATGGCTCATATGATAACTCTATGTTTTAACATTTTGAGGAACTATTATTTCCCAAAGCAGCAGTACCATTTTATGTTCTTACCACCGATGTGTAAGAGTTCTAGTTTCTCCACATCCTCACCAATACTTGTTAATGTAGTATTTTAAGCTATAGCCATCCTAATAGGTAAAGTGGTATCTCATTGTGGTTTGGGTT